CGTGTGTGCGTGTGATGCGTGCGTGCGCGTGCATGCGTATGTGTGTACGTGCGTGCGTGTGTGCGTGTGTGTGTGCATGCGTGTGCGTGTGATGCGTGCGTGCGCGTGCATGCGTATGTGTGTACGTGCGTGCGTGTGTGCGTGTGTGTGTGCATGCGTGTGCGTGTGATGCGTGCGTGCGCGTGCATGCGTATGTGTGTACGTGCGTGCGTGTGTGCGTGTGTGTGTGCATGCGTGTGCGTGTGATGCGTGCGTGCGCGTGCATGCGTATGTGTGTACGTGCGTGCGTGTGTGCGTGTGTGTGTGCATGCGTGTGCGTGTGATGCGTGCGTGCGTGCGTATGTGTGCGTGTGTGCGCGTGTGTGTGCATGCGTGTGCGTGCGTGTGTATGTGCATGCGTGCGTGCGTGTGTGTGCATGCGTGAGTGCGTGCGTGTGTGCCTGCGCGTGTGTGCGTGCGTGCGTGCGTGTGTGCGCGTGATGCGTGCGTGCGTGTGTGCGTGCGTGTGCATGCGTGCGTGCGTGCGTGCGTGCGTGTGCCTGCGTGTGCGTGCGTGCACGGGCATCGTGCGGTTGGAGTGTGGGCATAGTGTCTGTAGACAGGCAGGAGGTATAAGCAGTAAGCACTATCATCGATCATCACCCTGTCGCTGCAATACCAGCGTGTCCATCCATCGACACGTCCACACATAGTCATGATCGCAAGCAAAGAGTTACGAGAAGCTGTTCAATGGGATTAGCGGTGCGGGTGGAGTGTTGCAGCTCAATATGTCATCCTGTAATATGTCAGGTGAATCTTGTGTTAATCATACACGCCAGACGTGTTATTTTCCCGCTTATTCATGAGGAGTCATTAAAGCTTTGTTCATGGCCAAGCCATCACTGACTCACGTACAATTCACCAACTTTTATCCCAAGAGGTCATTATACGATTCCATGTCAATGGCGTTAATCTTTTTACTGTATTCGCTAATTCTACAAATGTCATCCAATGGGAGTTAATTATATAGTCTTCATCTTGTTCTAAGAAATCATTAAAGTGCCCACGCGCGGTGTTATTGGTTTTTCTACTGTATCAACAGTTCCCTTCCACACGTCAAATACAACACGAGGAGAAACCGCTTGCTCGATCCCCACACGCACATTCTATCCCCTGCTAGTGTAAACCAATAAAGCCGTGTATTCAAACTTGAATATAGCAAGCAACAACTTGACCGATCCGACGTGCACACTTGCTCTCACACTCATTGTGCGCATGTTGTCAAACACACTGATGTGTGGTTTTTTCACGACAGCTGACACGTAGAAGAGCAAACGTTGAATGTGTAAAGATAGCCAATGTTGAACTTTTTGCACAGCGATGACGTAACAATGAGATGGCGACAGATGGAACGTTCTATTGTCACCGACTCGCGGAGCTGGGAACAGCTTTTAAACTAAATGGCTTTAAGATAGATCGGTCTCAGCGAAACGTGTTGAATACACGTTTGAATACACGGTTTTATTGGTTTTCACAAGAACTATGGTTATAGCGGGTGGAGGCATGCACTCATACATACGCGCACGTACGAGTGCAAACAAACACAACAAACATTGACACGATGACTAAATGCGCAGGCGCACAGACCTGTGTGAGTAGTGAGTGCATGCAGGGCGATGCGTGCGCGACTGTAAAACGAACGACAGACTTGTAGAATTCGCGCGTGTCCCGCACGCACGTTCTATTATGCCGGCAGGCCGCGAGAGAAAAAAATCACTCCACTAAAATACACTAGTGCGTTTCAACACACTGCAGCAGAGAAGCTGCCACAAATGACAAAAGATCTTTTCTCTTTTTTAAGTTGAAAAAATTTCCTTGATCGAAGAGGGAGAGAGAGATGCACACTGCCACACGCGACGCAAGCTTCTCAGCTTCCCGGAGTTTCTCTCTCTGCTGCCGAGGAGACGATTAGCGATCGCAATAATTAGTCTCTCGTAATTAACGCACCTAACGAGCAACTGGTAGTGTGAGCGGTCGAACACCTCCCCGCCCACCACCCACATCGCGTCACCCACGATGACGGCCTGGTGGGAGGCGCGGGGGGTGGGCGGGGGTCCCCTCCCCCTCGCCACGTCCCACGACGCCTCGCTGCTCGGAACACTGCAATCAGGACCTGAAACGCAAACAAGGAGAATAAACGCAAACAAGGATACTGAATGATGATGAGGAGGAGAAAAAATAAGCAACAGAAGGACGTGACGTCGCCATATGGTAAGAAACGCGTGTTCTGTCGGCATGCTGTCGTCGCAGCAACGCTTCGTTGTCCGCGATTGTTTTTTTCCGGGCTTGGAAAAAACACGAGGATCCTTAATCGGTATTCACTCGGCAAACAAAATAGTCACCATCGCCCAAAGAGAAATGACGCGAAACGCGTACATTACACAACTCCTTCTACACCCCCACACGAAGATCGGTGTTTTACGTTATACTCGACCAACCACCGCACGCGCGTCGTGACACACAGACATATCGCGGCTAGATAAAACAAGTGGCGCGACCGTAACAATGGGCGCGGTGGTGGCGGGCAGGGTCATCGCGGGGGCGACTAAGGCACGACACTAACGCCTCTACGCGAGGCAACGCTGCGTCTAAACGCTCCTGAGACACGGAGTATGAGCATGAATGGCAAGAATAAAAACAAGTGGCATGACCAATGACCATTGACCGTACAGTTGTCACGTGCGGCCAGCGGCACGCACGATTGTATCGCCTCGCGACACAACGCTCGGAGTGCGAGGCGTTACTATGCAATCTACGTCTGCTCCGTATAACGACAGTGAACACGTGGTGTAGCCACCAACAATCCCCTGGATAACAGAATGGGACTCTCTCTCTCACTGCTGACAAACCCAGTAAAGTGCACTCTCCGCATGCAACGATGCGAGGCGCATTATAACTATAAAACTATAACATAAACTAATAAACATGAACTAAACATGAACTATAAAACGATCGCGGCTTGTAAACTCGTACGGTAATAAACGAGACTAATAAATTAGAGATAAATCGTCATGACGTCAGTGAAATAAGTGAAGTGAAAGCTTCACGAATAAGTAAGTGAAATAGCCGGTAAACGCTCCGTCAAAGCCGCGTTCCCCACGTGACCAACCCAACGCTGACATCGGAACTAATCATTGCGAAGCATCGAACAAAATAAACTCGAATCTAGAACGACGACGAATTTCTTTCTCCGCCGCAACTATTTCACCAAGAAAAATACTCAATAGTTACTAGATCGCATCTAAAGCACTTTCCTCCCTTCTTCTCGTTCCCTCGGCGAAATGCTGTTGCGTGCGTAGCGCAACATTACTGACAATTATCAGCAGTCGGTTTCGGTTGGAAGAAAAACTGTATAGAGCGTCGATGGCTTCTAATTCAGAACCACGCATCTCCCACGTGTCACGTTGAAATTGACGATTCGATTAGCCAGCGACTTGCACGTCATGTTAGGGCACGCACGTACGATGGTCATATGAGCGGTGAGCGTGTGTTTCATGAAGCATGCAGGGACTGTGATACCGCTGTCCTGCTGCTGCTGCTGCTGACCCTGCTGCTGCTGACCCTGCTGCTGCTGCTGTTGTTGTAGCTGTTCATGTACACCGTACTATGGGTTGTGTGATATACGTCTCTCTAGCTGCTGTAGCTGTTCATGTACACCGTACTATGGGTTGTGTGATATACGTCTCTCTAGCTGCTGTTCATGTTCATGTACACCGTACTATGGGTTGTGTGATATACGTCTCTCTAGCTGCTGTTCATGTTCATGTACACCGTACTATGGGTTGTGTGATATACGTCTCTCTAGCTGCTGTTCATGTACACCGTTCCCCCTGTTTCAA